GTAGTAGTGGTAGTGGTAGTGGTAGTAGTGGTAGTGGTAGTGGCAACAGCAGCAGTCGTAGTTGCTGTCGCAGCAGGAGAAGACGTACGAGTAGGAGAACGAGTGGGAGCGGGAGCAGGGAGTAGGAGAAGCAGTAGTAGTGGCACCAACACCATGTGTTCGTCTTGATACTGCTTATGCTTATCACAATCTTCACGGTCAAGTGCGTCACGGAACTTGTGATGATGCCTGCTAAGCTAAACCCCTACTCTCATCACCACTCTTTGGCTGGTAGGATACAGGTGACGATAATGAAACCCTAAACCCTAAACCCCAAAACCTAAACCCCAAATCCTAACCCGATGTTTTGTAATGAGTCGATGCTGCCGACACCAAGCCCCAAACCTGCCTATTGCATGACTGGAACCTCGAAACCCAGCGGCCGAGAGAAGGATTCCGGAGCCTGGTGCTGCTAGCAGCCTCAAACCCTTCACCAAAGACCCTAAACCTACAAGCCCCCCAAAAAAACCCTGACATGCAACATGCACCTAATATATCCTGATAATAGTGCTCTAAACCCTCAACCCCTAAATCCTAAACCTTAAACCAAACCCCGATACCCCAAAAACCCCTAACATGCAACTTGCAGCTTATGTATCCTAAACCCAAAACCCCTACACCCTAGAGAGTTCTAGGGCCCAGCGCTCAATTCAGGGAGTTCGGAGCCTAAGCCAGGCGGTCTTCCCAGAGTATGCCGAGAAGATCGATGAGCACGTCGATCCCGGAGAGTCTGGGGCCCTCGCGTTGAGGGTTTAGGGGGTTTGGGGTTGCAGGTTGAGGGTTGAGGGGTTTAGGGTTTAGGGTTTAGGGTTTACGAGGATTCGGCGTTGATTGGGCTTTGGAGTACCATACTTTAAGACTTGTTTTGGGTGACCTGTTCCTTAAAGGAACCATTATAAAATAAGAGTCTATACTTTTTTCTCCCTGGTTACTTCAAAGCCCAGCTGAGGGTTCAGGATTGAGGATTTAGGGTTTAGGGTTGAGGGTTGAGGGTAGATCCCGGAGTCGGATTGAGGGTTGAGGATTTACGGTTTAGGGTTCGAGGGTTGAGGGTTTATAGGGTTTACGGGAGATCCCGGTGTCGTTGAGGGTTGAGAGTTCAGGGTTGAGGGTTCAGGGTTTAGGGTTTAGGGTTTTAGGGTTTAGGGTTTAGGGTTTTAGGGGTTTAGGGGTTTAGGGTATAGGGTTCAGGGTTAGCTCTCGGAGAGTCTTGGGGCCTGGTATATAGGTGGTTCTCTAAATTAGGGTAACTTTTTAGGTCCCCAATATAGTACGGCAGCCTTATAAAAAGGACCCTAAGAGGGACCCTAATTTTGAAAACTACCCCTGTAGGGGCTTAAGGTCCCTTGTTGGGGCTCCTTTAAGGCTTCTATAAGGGTAATTCTCTAAATCGATGAGGGTCCCTTTTATGTTCCAGAAATTGTACAGCAACCTTATAAAAGGACCCCAACAGGAGACCCTACTTCAGAAACTACCCACATGTGGACCAGGGAGACAGAGCTTAGGGGCGTTTAGTCAGGGCGTTTTCGGGCTTCATAGGTTTCATGAGGGTATACGAAGTAGGGTTTGATTCGGACTACCTCATCTGTGGTTCTAAGTAAAGCTTGGGCGCTCACAGTGTGTAGCTTCGAGGTTAATGCAGATTTTGCCAGCATTTCGTGGTACCTTGATGACTTGACGTCCTTATAACGAGGACCCTTGTTTAGTTCTGGCTTGCTGAAACTATCACCACCCCAACATGACACCTCAACTGCAACTTGGCCCTAAACCCTAAACCCTAAACCGTAAACCTTAAACCGTAAACCCTAACATGGCACCTCAACTGCAACTTGGCGGTGGCTTGGAATTCATGAAACCTGGGGCACCACAGCCCAGCAAGATGCCCCCGATCCTAAACGGCTTGGAGCATTAGGTAGCAATGCTATTCCACAGGGTTCCTTGACACAACCTGATACTGAATCATACTTAGGGTTTAGGGCTTTAGGGTTGATGGTTTAGGGTTTAGCCTTCAAATTAGTAGTCCCACTACTAATTACTAGGGCTCAATTTGGGGACTGGGGCTTCAAGAATCCTTCGTTCCCAGGAGCGCAGGCTCTTAGCCTCGGGGCAGAGAGTGAGGGCTTGCTTAGGACAGTTGTCTTTGTACAAAAGCCGTAGTCCAAGGATTTCTTGGCACAAAAAACCGTAGTCCTGCTTGTCTTTTATGGCTTCTAAGACATGTATCCTGGTACGAAAAAGCCATGGTCTCATGCCTGTCTTTTGTGGGCTCTAAGACCTGTATCTTGGAAAAACTGACGTCGTGCTTGTCGCTTCTGGGTTCTAAGACCAAGCCTAGCCACATGGAGACAGAGGTACCTTGAGAACCCAAAACCTACTTTTTTGTAGGGTCCCTATAAATCCCATATTCGGGCTTATAAAAAGAACCTACAACAAAGTTGGTTTTGGGTTCTTAAGGGACCCTAATACGGTACCCTGAATAGTAGGATCCTTATTATAAGGAACCCCAAAAAGGTACCCCTTGTTTTCGAAAACTCCCACATGGAGAAAAAGGTACGGCTTGGAGAACTACACTTGTCGTCTCGCCAGGGCCTTAGCTTTTCAGACCTCCGAAGCTTGGAAGCAGCTTCCCATAAAGGAGCTTAGGGTTTAGGGTTTAAGGTTCAGGGTTTAGGGTTTTAGGGTTTAGGGTTTGGGGTTTGGGGTTATTATGGAACCCGATAGTACGCTTTGAGTATTGTAGAACCCTACCCCACAAGGTTACTCCCCGCCTGGCTGCTTCGGGCTTAGCATTGGTATCTTTGGTTTTGGGGGTCTTAGAGGTTATCCTAGGTGGCATTAGGGAGGCCCCTGAAAGGGACCCTTCTTGATCCTACTTATGTCTCTCTTACAAAGGGACCGTATTGAGAGAGTCTATATTTCCAAGGGTCCCCCTAATCCTAACTCCTAGGTTGGGATGTTTGTTTATTCGCGTGATTTGGGCTTGACATTTCCAAGGGAGAAGGAGTTCTTCGCGATCAGGAGCAGTAGGAGTTGTAAACCTTATCATAGCCTCACTCTAACATACCCCCCAAAGCCCATTATAATGACTACTTAATTAATCAAGATACTATAGGCCCCGTATTATAGAACACTGAACTGAGCTTCTTTTTCTAATATACCCCAAAGTTCATTACAATGAATCAGATACTGCAGACCCGCTAGTACAGAAAACCCTTAATCCTAAACCCTAAACCCTAAACCCTAAACCCTAAACCCTAAACCCTAAAAAAAAACCCTAAACTGAACCCTAGAACCCCCAAAGAAGGGACCGCTAGGTTGAAGGGCTCTCAGCACTGCCATTCCCGGTTTCGGGTTCCAGGTTCTTGGCACTTGGGGGCTTATGGTTTTCAGGATTTGGGGGTTTTGGGGGTCTACTTAGTGGCTGAGTAGGTAAACTTTAACCTCTTGGGGCTCTTGTAATCCTACGAATATTCTAGGACCCGGAGTAGGCTCTTATTTCCTTTTTTAGGGTTGGGGCTCCCTTATAATCCCCTTAAAACCAAAAAGGGCACCCTTTTCATTCCTAGGTTACTCCTGGGTCTAGTATTCAAAAGGTTAACCTTTTTCGGCCTAGGGTACTCAGCCTCTAAGACTAGGGTTCAACACAAGTTCGTTCTCTCCAGTGAAGGCGTGTTGTTCGAGGAGTCCCAGGTAAACTCCGCCGATAGGACTTATGGTTTTAGGGTTCAGGGTTTAGGGTTTTCAGTGGATTCTTGGTTTTAGGGTTCAGGGTTTAGGGTTTTCAGTGGATTCTTGGTTTTAGGGTTCAGGGTTTAGGGTTTTCAGGGGATTCTTGGTTTTAGGGTTCAGGGTTTAGGGTTTTCAGTGGATTCTTGGTTTTAGGGTTCAGGAGCCCCTATAGTCGGCTTTGCGAAGCTATGCGTTTCTTGAGGCTCAGGCTTGTTCTGCCTGCGGACCTACATCGAGTAAAGAAGCGTCATGCATGCTTGAAGAACTGCGTGTGCAGCCATGCCGGCTTGAGCTCCAATATAGGGGTTTCCGAAAATAGGGGACCCTAATATAGTACCCTAAATAATAGGATCCCTATTATAAGGACCCCAAAGTAAGGTACCCCTAATTTTCGGAAACTCCCATATAGAAGACAGCATGAAGCCCCAGGAACATCTACAGCCACGATCTACTTTTCGGTGGAGTTCCCTAGGCCGTAAACGGGGACAAACTGAAAACAGGCAACAGAAAGCCACGGATTCGGATATAAACTTCTTGGCCAGGACGGCGTGCAGATGTCTTGTACAGATCAGCCCCACAAAATGCTCCCTCTAGTTGCCCTTAATGTAGGAACCTGCGTCAGAAACAGCGGATGCCACTTATATGGAAGCTTAGATCATTACTTACATGTTCCTTAGAGTTCCTTATTCTATCTATGCTATAAAGGAGCCCAAAACCCCATTCTAATTATCAAGCTTACATTACCAGGCATTCCGAGCCAGCAGTTTCCTAGCCGACAGATCTCTATGCTGGGGCAGATCCTGCAGAGGCACAAACTCAAAGGGTTCAGGGTTTAGGGTTTAGGCAGGAGTTTCGGTTGGGTGCACTTGACCCCAACCCGAAAACCCGAAACCCCCAACGCCCTCAACCCGAAAAGCCTAAACCCACAAGGAGCTTGGTCTGTTGTTCGGGCAGCTCACTTGGGCCAGTTTCGGCTGAGCCCACCGAGTTCTTTCTGAGTTCCAACGAACCTAAAAATCGGCAATCGGGTTTAGGATCCTGTTTGACTGGGTCGACATTTTGGGGAGTATATAGATGAACCACGTAGGCCTTTGGGATATGTTGTTTTCCCTTAGAGGGCTTAGGAGAATCTTATTTACGACGATGTTCAGAGGCTTTAAAGGGCAAACCAGGTGAATATTAGGCAGTGCAACCCTTACCGTGAAGCTGGCAGCAAGAGCATGCCCTTCATAACGTAGGAGGCCTAAAAAGCACCACGACAATTCTGAGGGTTCCTTATTATTTTGCTTATAGACCATAACCATACTATAAATGATTGCCAATACTTTTTTTTAAGGGGCTCCGTGTTATCTCCATGATAGAATATACCTCAAAACCCTACTTTAACAATTACGGACCCTAGATTATGCCGTTGTGTGTCGGGTGGAAGGGTTTCGGGATTGTCGCCGCCCTTGCTGAACAAAGACGCCCAAGCAAAGACAATTCTGTGGACTGCGGATGCCCTACCCAGGCAGCCCAATACCTCTTGATTAGAGATTGGTCTTTCGCTTCAAAATGCAGTCAGTTTGACAGTTTGACGTTCAAGTATCATTTTACATTGTTTAATGCCAAGTTGTGTCTCTGAGTTCACGAAATTGAAAATCATTTCTGGAAGCACAGCCGTCGCTTGAAGGACCAGCGGACATGGGAAGTTGAAACTAGGGTTACAAAGTTTGGCCAAGAGTATAACTCACCCGAAAAGCCTATCCCTGAATCCGATGCTGCCCAAAACCCTTGTCAAAATTTCGCTAAGTCCTACAACAGTAAGCATAGATCCCTACAAAGTCCGCATAGAACTCGTTTACAATAACCATATGAAACCTCTCAGCCTCTAAAAGCCTAGATCAACCATCAACGCCCTTTGCCCCTAGAGTGGGCGCATAAGGTTGCTAGACGGACCTTTTTTTTATAGGTGCTACAAACTTACTATAACGTTAATTCCATCCCTAAGCCCCTCAAGTCAATGTTGAGGTCCCTATAAGCCCTAAAGTCGAAGCCCTAAACCCTAGAACCCTAAGCCCTAAACCCTAAGGTCTAAAGTCCTCAGCTCGAAGCTGAAGAAGGGTTTGGGGTTTACGACAGTGTGGTCAGGTACCGGAGCGCGTCCAAGGCGCGGCCTTTGGCAGTGGCCTTTGCGACATGCTTTGCCAAGGCCTGGGATAGTGTAGGGGCCTTAAGAACTACTTATTGTAGGGGTACCATAGGGTTTTATTAGGCATTAGTAAGGTCTTAAGGTTTAGGGCTTAACAAAAGGGGCCTCAATAAACTTACCTATATTATTTTTTGGGGGGCTCCTTGTTGTTATTATGGCATAATGGGCCCTAAAGCCCTATTCTAATTATTAAGGCCCCTACAGCACGGAGGTTTCTTTTGAGGTTGTGGGTTTAGGGTTGGGGTTTCTTGTGGGGGTGAGGGTATGGGGGTTGAGTGTGAATTAGGGTGTTGGGTGTGTGATGGCGCATGTACCTGCAAGTGTACATATATAATGTTATGAGTATACCATGTCGTAAAGTCGTAACGTAGACAATCCCTTCAGCATCAGAACAAGCTTCCTGAACCCTAAACCCTAAACCCTAAACCCTAAACCTGAGATCCTTACCCCTCGATCAAGCCTTATACAACTCTTGAGTCCCCCCCACCCCCTGAAGAAGAACCCCAAAAGCCCTAGAAGCCTAAACCGTTAAACCCCAAGCCCAAAAGCCCTAAAACCCTAAACCTTTAAACCCTAAACTCTAAACACCCCAGGACAGCCATTCAAGTACCATAAAACCCCTAAACCCTAAACCCTAAACCCTAAACCTCATTTTCAAGAGCGATGGTCACGGAGGGTGCGGCCTCCGACTCTGTGGCCCAGAAAGTGGTGGAGCAGCACCTTGCGGGGCCTTACTTAAAGGATCATGGGACTTAGTAAGTTCGGGTTATAAATAAGGTAACTATACTTATAACCTTAATTTGGGGACTTATAACCTTACTTATTAAGTCCCATGATCCTCCAAGTAGGGGGCTTGAGGGTTCAAGCTTTCAGGGGTTGTGGATCGAGGGCTAGGGCTGGGGTTTACAGGGGTTGTGGATCGAGGGCTAGGGCTGGGGTTTAGGGTTGAGCGCATTTAATATTTCGAGGCCTCATTCAATGGAATAGTAAAGGATTGTGTTGGGTTCGAAGGCTTTGGATTTAGAGGTCCCCTTCCGGGAAAATACATCTGGTTACAGTGGTTTGTAGTGCCTTGCAGGGATCGAAAACGGTTCCAGAAGGGTCTTGTTGGTTGCTGACCAGAGCCTCAATTCAAGCAGGGTCCGGGTATCTTGGCGCTCTGTTTTCGAGGTCTCAAAAAAGAAATCTAGAGGTCCTTCAGACGAGGTCGATGGTTTGTTTCCGGGGGTCTGGGTTGCTAGAGTTCTTTGTGCTCCTATTCACAGGTGCGATAAGGCAATATTATAGACCCAATATTTTTTGTATATATATATATATACACATACAGAGGTATATACATAGGCATATGCGGCATATATGTACAAGATACATGTGTGTGTATATATATATATACATATTATACGTATACCCTTACGATATACACACACACGGATAGACAGCTAGATAGAGAGACAGGCGAGATAGGTATTTAGGTGGGCAGGTCGGCAGGCAGGCAGGCAGGCAGGCAGGCAGGCAGGCAGGCAGGCAGGCAGGCAGGCAGGCAGGCAGGTAGGTAGGTAGGTAGGTAGCAAGTAGATAAGAGTGGGAGGTAGGTAGGCAGGCAGGTAGGCAGGCAGATAGGCAGTCTATGTATATGTGTATATATATATATATATATGTATCTATTACTGTTTATTTGTATTTTTATGTGTATTTATAACTGTATAAATGTTTTTTCAATTGTAATTATAGCTGTTTATCTCTATTTACATGTGTATTTTTTGGTTTATTAGTTAATATGTATATACATCTGTATATATATATATATATATATTCATAGATGAGTTAGCACCCCCCCCCCCAGCAGCACCCCCCCCCCCAAGTCCAAGTTGAGTCACCCATGATGTGCACACTAATAGCAGCTATTAAGAACTAT